TTAGTTGTCCAACATTTTCTACATGTGAGCTAGGGCAAACGCAGACCCCACTCGCCTCCACACAACTCCGAGGAAGAGAAAAAAATAATTCCCTCGCACTAAGTCCTTAAACTGGCTCAGCCAAGACGGAATAGTGTGTTGTGCAGCTTTACTTCTATTGAGAGATTGTGGTGCAGGTGCTTCTTCACATATAACAGCTCGAGTTGACTAGACCAGGAAAGCGGGCCGTAAGTAACTATAGTGGTATAATACGGATGCAGACGGAACATTTCAGTACGTGAATGTTTGTAATAACGGTGGGTGCGAGAGAAAAAGTGCTGATTTTAAAAGCGGAGCCTGTTTGAACCTTGTAGGTTGGAATAAAGGCGAGTGTTGGAGGTTGTTTCGCTTACGCGATCTTGTGAGGATATACTTACTCAACGACACTATGGTTTGGCTAGATCCTATCCAGGTTTCAGATTTGTCCAGTATGGGACTTGTGGTGTGCATATGCTCTCTGCTCCATGCCGCTTGGTTGACAAGATCGATCACTTCCATCTACATGTGGTATCAAAATCTTAAGCCCAACCACACTTACCAGATAAGCTATGCTTCGGAATGGGCTGACTTGTCGCGTTGCATTCTGAGACGAAAAACCTATATTATTTCGAGGATTAGAATGCCACTACTGTAGCAAATCGCTCTGCAGCATCATACACGTTAGATGGAGGTGATGAATACCACGGTCCTTGTGCAGCAGTATAAGGCAGTCGAGAAACAAGGAAAGAAAAAAGAAAACATATCATAAAATGCGCTGTTCCTTCACGCGCGCCAGTAGTTAGCGCGTGGATGGAGGATGAGGCTAAGCAAGAGGGGTACGGGCAAAGAAACTAAAACCACACACGTCATTGTGGTCAATATGTGCTTCCAACCAAACGGGTTCATCATATTTCGGGCCCTAACATGGCAGAGCCCAACTTCGAAGTGAGATCTTTCATTCCACTTGACTAAGTCATCGATTGGTCACCTATTTTCCTCCTATATCCAGACTGAGATCGCGCAAACGAACGCCGCAAGAGTTGGAATGCTGGCATGCGCGACATTTGGCCCCAATGTCGGATCCTGGCGCCTGAAATAACGGCACCGAGCGGTTCACTTTTTTCTACGCGATACGAAAGACGTCGAACATACCAACTGATCACACAATGTCCTCAACACATAAATCATACTACGAAGGCAGCCATGGTCGAAAACCACAAACCTCTTTATGTCTGCCGATCTGATGGGCCAGGTTTCGTAGGGTTGCACAGACAACTGAATTGTAAACTCTAGCTCTCTGAGGGCAACAGTGATGTTGTGCCGGTGTCACAAGTGGCGAAATTAAGTGAAAAAATCTCAAGCTCTTACTCTGAGGTATGTCAATTCGTTTCCTTTTACACTGGCGCTGACATAGCTGATCCCCCACCAAAGGTCAGTGCAGGAGCGGTCTCTGTAAATCTTGGAGCATAGCATTGCGTTCGTGGGAAGCAAAGCACAGTCCAAAACGACTAACAACCAGTGCAATGTTGTTTCAAGCGTTTGTGAGCGGTCACAGTTGAGAGCAATATCATCTGCGTATTCCAAGTAAAGTCGATCACCTGGAAACAGCTCTCCACATTCAAAGTCTTGTTCCGTGGACGCAATTACCACAATTCCATCAATAACGAAGTCAAAAAAGGAAAGTGATAACGGGCATCCTTGTGTTACACCGCCGTACATGTTGAAGGATGACGACATTTTGCCGTAAGGCTCCGCTCTGTTCGAACTATTCTTATAAAAGGATCTGATGATGCTTTCGTATTTTTCGGGCACAACATGTAGCATAGGTGCCGAATATGGGACAAAATCTTATGGCTCGCAATAGAAGCACACAAGGCTGAGGTCTTAATGTAACTGTCAGTCAAGCTGTTTATAAGCAGTTCCACAATCTAACATCAACGCTGCGTTGGAAATTGGTTCCAGTGAGAACACATCAGTCAATCGTTGCGACTGAATCCGCTCCTCAAGTTATAACAAGTAGAGCCCAGGGCAACACAGACCCAGCATTATAGTGAAGTGGAAATGCATGAGTCGACAGAGCATGCGACAATACGATTTAAACGCAAGAGAATGTCTAACAATGGGGTATACCTCACCGGGAGTTTACCGATTCGGAATTGTTACTCATGGAAGATGACAATTGTTGTGATATGATGTATGGCTCCAAAATATTAGTCTTAAACGAGCTTGGTTCTTATTTAACAATGTTACCGAGAGCAGTATCCTTATATTAATAACATCAATAACACGTATATTTCTCATGAGTCGAGAAACTGCGTCTGTAGCGACACAGATCAATGTGTACAAGAGATACCATGCTCTTGCATTGGCGATGCGCATATGTGCAATATTGAAGCATGGGGATCATATAAAAAGCGATTTAGTGGATAGTTGAAGTGAAAGCCAAGTTTGGAAGAGTGAGTGTTTAGACATATTTGGGTCCCTCTTGGAACAGTTCATCGAGAAATTTTTCTTATGTGAATATAGTCACTACTGTATTCAGGTCAAGATAACTCGAGAGTTTGTTACGAAATGTTGCCGCATTGTCACACGAAGTGAGTTTGATGGGCAGTTCATCCCACAAATAGATTTATCTGACCAGAAAAAAATGGAAGCGTTTGCTTATTCTGGCCCTTGGTATCTTCAGTGTACAATCTTTGTTGCGAAGCACTCAAACTGAGGTCTACGGAAGCCCGAGAGTAGGCGGATCAGAATGGTATTTTGTGTGATAGTTGTGAAGCAGTAATACACTATGCTTCAATCGTGGCATCCAAAGTGGTCTGAGTGTAAGCTTCTTGCAAGGCTCTCGGTAATTCGTGACAGAATGCTTACTAACCAGATGTCAAGCAAATTACCTCTGTTAGGTTCCAGAGCAATTCTGTAGCTCTCTCATGCTGCCACAAAGTATGCCACAGGATTCAAGAATGAGGCAGGTGAGTAGCTGAGAAAGCCTGACTCATATGGACTGTGTGCATCTTGGATATACTAACCAGATTGTTTGGCAAGCGCTATCTGGTATAACGCCCTTTCAAAAAATGTGTTGGTAGGTGAGTACATAATTCCAAGATTGCGCGTGGACAACTGTATACAGACCTGTTCATTGTTGAGTACAATAGATCACTCGAGAATGGAACAGCCGAAGGACATGATGCTAAAAGGTTCAACACTCACGTGTAGCACCATGACCAGAGAGATTGTAAGTAATGTTGAATTAACAGTAGCGTTTCATGAAATTGGTCAAGTTGAAGCTTATAGACTATCCCAATATCGTGGGCGAATAAAATTGGTCGACTATGTTTTATTGCATAAGTTGGTGCCATTTCGATCAGGAACAGCGAAGTACCGAGGGTGTTCCATTAAGTAACAATAGAGAAGAGCGATAATCACCTAAAGTGACCTCCTGGTGGAAAGCATTCAGGTATGACGACAGCTAATCTAGTAATGGGTCCCAGGTCTTAAATACCTTCAACTTTTTTAACAACTGCTTGTGAAGTGTACGGTCGAGTGACAGTTGTACATCCAGAAACAGAATTACTATTGCATAGCCGGAATTGACAAACTTTGAAATGTAATTCAGATAGTGTAATTGACAAGTAGTGCATGATCGCTTGTAAAGAAAACCATGCCGCGATTTATTTATCAGTTTACTACAAACGTTACGAGTCAATTTTGAACGATTAGTTGTCCAGAAAAATAGATGATAAAACTATGAAAAGTAATGATCCCTAGCTTTTGTTCATTTTACAGCATTGTGCGCGAGGAGCAAACTTGTGGTTCCGATGACTCTCCCAGCAGGCATCTTTAGGCATAGAAACAGGTAGTGTCTCCACTCATACAACACATTCGATGTAGCGACGAAATTAAGCTTAAGCTGAGAACGCCAAAAAAGCAAATAACGAGTACTGTAAGGTATCAGAACTGATCTACGATAATCTGATCGGGTTTGTAACCCATAGTCGAGGACTTAAGAAATAATATCACTTACATACTAACCTAAGATGTCCAGATCGAGTCCGTTTGGTAGTTGTTCATTGATTGCTTGCTTCGAGTGGCCCGGAACGCGCATGAGAGTAATAGTCCGGTATAAATCAGGGAATAACGGAACTCGATAAAGCATCGAACCACATCATACACCAAGCACATTGTGAGTATATGACATTAAGGCTTACAATGGGAACCAATAAAGCTTTAACGTGTCCCCCCGCGATGGCAAAGGACCTTACATACGAACGAAACGTAGCCGTTCACGTAAGACTAGGTGGGTTGGGGTGAACATGACGATGCTGCAGGAGGGAGGAAACACATTCGATACCGGCACACACCAGTTGGGAGCAGGATGTAGCGGAAACCGAATTTACGTTGAGATTAGCGGGGAAACCCCACTGAGAGTAAGGAAACATTAGGAATGGTAGGTTACTGGCTTATACAAATTTCAATGAAGAACTTTTAAGTAAAGGCTAGTGGAATGAATGTCAAGAGAACGTTTCTCTGGTATATCAGTGAAAAGGCATAAGATAACAATACATCCAGAAATGCGATGGGCGACAGCTGCCCGAATAAAAGAGCAGATGCATCAATGTGACAAGAACAAGCACACAGATGCATTGCAAATTTTGTTGAAGACAGTATCTTGCCAGTGGATAATGCATAAACGGCTCAAAGAAGTTCGTGAGCGAGTTGAACACAGGGAAAAGCTATATAGGTGGTCATGGTTCATCCGTAGAGGCTAAAAATCCTCTGAAGACTTCTAAATGAAAAGATAAACTTGATATGGATAGGGAAACCAAGGTTCAAAACGAGATGCGATAGTACTGACCGCAATACGGAAACATAATGGACAAAATAACGGTGTCACAGCACGGGAATCGCTATACACCTGTCTCGGAGCTGATGGAGGGTATGTGCGCTGCAAGATTGCTACTGCTCGCGAAGACATGATACGCCAGCCGGAGGGTCAATGAGGTCGGTGTCAACTCCCTCCAATCCCACTGCCCATCTGGCACTATTCAGGGTGTTGAGAAACAACATAGCCACACTCAAGGGTCCGACGCCACCAGGGACAGGTGTGATCCAACCGGCCCGTTCAATTGCTTCATCAAACCGGACGTCGCCAACAGAGCGCAACTTCGACGGGGCAATGGAATCTAAGTGTAGTTCAGGAGAGAGAGTGGTGTGAAGTGAAGAGGCGGAAATTACAAATCAAAGAATACTCAGGGGATAAGCACAACGTATGAATCAAGCGTTCATTCTGAGTAAGCAAACCTGTGATAATCATGAAGTGATTCCTTATATCGCAAAGACAGCCAGTCGCTATGTGGTGGACAAAAAACAGGTACTATTGTGCTAGGTGTCAGTAATATGGAAGTGTCACGGAACCCAGACCAACAACAGATCATAAGAATGTCCAAAAATAGTAGGCGTGTGAGCCGCAGATATATGTGCACTAAGAATAGACGCAAAAGCAACGTGTGCCACGCAACTGCCAGGACAGAGTTCGGAGTTGAGTGGGACGGTTGGTGGCCAGGACACTTGCATATGATTGATGATGTCTGCGACAATAACTAAGCATTTGTACAGTGGGCTCTTGAAGCTATCATATATGAAACAGTAAAAAAAACTGATAACTCAACCAAGCCTAGTTTTGGAACTGGTCCACTGAGCCGCTGTATCCAATGGGAACAAAACAGAAATGGCGCTTTCCGCTTGAATCGGACTTCGACTCATTCCTCTGGGTACATATGCTCCCAATTCGTAACAAAAATGAGAAAACCGGGTGATTTCAGTGTAACAGTCATCAGGCTGACAAAAATGTTCTGTTTAAGGTGACTCTAGAGAACAAACTACGTGTTCGTTGGTGTGTGTGTGGATCATGCGAATCGAGCAAAGAATCAGTCGATGTCGGTTACCGTAAGGCACTGTGGTAAGCATAAGCTATCCAACATATGAATTACCTACAAAGGATAAAGATAAACCCGCGAGGAAAGGCTCAGAAAAGGAGGCAAAGAGGAAAAATAAGCTATTCAAAGTGCCGGATCCAAGTTAACACCTATGGAGTGTATTCGATGGAATACTACAGTGTTCAAAAAGAAAGCGGAATGTTGGAATAGCGAAACAACCAACAGAGATGGCGCGCTGCGGCTACTGCGCGCGCGTAGGTATGTTTAGACAAAAAAAACTGCAATTTGCTGCGTTTTGCTTTGGTCGTTAGTTGGCGGGCTACAATCACTGAAATGAGCCCTTGTACAAGCTGCCGTCAGATAAGTGTTAAGGTAACAATGAAAAAGCTTGAAGAGCATTGTGTGCGTAAGGATTTTTACTACAAACTGGGTAAAACATTTAGACATTTCAGTTGATCAGCCAAGCATACGGGGAAGACTACAAGTCTCAGACAGGTTTGTGATTAGTTTAAGCGTTTTGAACCGCGGTAGAATGTCGGCTGGTAAAGACCCCAAGCCTGGACGACATTTCACATCAATAGACGATGACCATACCGAGGAAGATCGTGTGTGATCCGTGGAAACCGTCGTCTAACGGTGCGAAAAGTTGCTGACTTGGTTGTTGGATTATTACAATGAGCCCGCTCACGAATCGTTCCTTATCCGCAGCTACCTAGCAAAACAATAAATTCCCACTCTGCTACATTCATCATATTATCTGGACATAGAAACATCAAACCTTTTCCTTTCTTCAAAATCACGCTGAAATGAGGTCGTTTCCAAAACATAGTAAAGATGTTTCTTTGGAACATAGTGTAGTGTTGCACGGAAACTGTCGTGGCGCGCTGCTTGACTTTGAACTGGTGTTTACGCTGCGCTTTCATTTGCCTTGCAGGAACCGGGTCGTGTGCTTTAACGGAAGAAGTGCAAGCAGAAGAAGATTGACTGTAACGTTTATCTTCCTTTTTTATAACATTATTTCCTCTATTGTAGTTTGCTACGTGTTGCTTAATAAATCTCCAGTTCCAATCTCCGGAGTTTTCCCAAGCTTGTATACTACAATATTGGCGACCCTGCCGAGGCACGTTCATCAGGAATCCTGTATCACTGGTCTAACGAAGATAATGCCGAAGACAACCAATAAAGCCGATGACGAAACTAATTTTGACGCTAATGATCCGACGGCAAAGCTCGCCGCTTCGCTCGATATGTTATCACGGACTTTGCAGAAAATGTCGACTTCATCAACTTCTTCAACCAGCATGCCATCTATCCCGCCGCCAGAACGTTTTACCCTGGGGATGCTGTACCCCAGATGGGAAAAGCAAGTCCAGTTTTATCTGCGTCATTTCCCATCCAACCAACAAGCAGCTGTGCTCGCCGGTCTGCTCTCGGAAGAGGCCTTTGATATCGTTGCAGACAGTAAACTTTTGGAGAAAGAAGTCACAACCGAGACTTTTTCCGCCATGCGCCGATTATTAGCCCGCCCCGGTCTACCTGCGCCCCTACGCAGGGCATTCCATGCACGTTACCAATATCCGGCGGAAACCATACGCACATACGTTCGCGAACTGCAGAGGATGGCCGATATCGCGTACGAGAACGAAACGCCAGATGAACGTGAAAAGCTGGTCTTAGGACAACTCCTAGAGGGCGTTCAAACGCCGTCTATTAAAAGGGAGTTCCTGCGATACCCTCCACGCCGTTTGGACGAGGCATTGGAAACAAGTGACCATTTGGAAGACATAGATGCAGCCATGGGTACGCCTACATCTGGCTGTTTTGCGGTAAGAGGAAACACACGACATAGACGCGTCCGAACTGAAAGAATGACGGGAAATCCCGGCCGTTTTCAGAGATATCCTGCCCCACGACGACCGACACAATCAGGTTTTCGTTGGCCCCGCAGACAAACGTCATACCGCGGATCGTCTCGCTACAGGAACACGCCAGGTGAGCATACCATGACATCATTTATGATACCATCTCTTACTTGCAACTCGATTGTGACGTCGCTAACACTAGAATTATCGATAGCTGGGATTTGCTTACTGGGGCTAGTGGATACTGACGCAGCTAGAAGCCTAATCAGGGCCAGCGTGAGTAGGAGCTTCTCAAAGTGTGTTAGAAAACCTTGTAACGCTCGCCTTACCGCGGCCAACGGGTTACCACTAGTTGTTCGGAATTCCATCGTTGCCCCAGTTGTTGTAGCCTGCACAAGGTTTAACCATGAATTTATCGTTGCTGATCGGATACCGTTCGATGTTATTATCGGAATAGATTTTTTGAGGAGGTTAAAATGCCGACTTGACCTGGAGAAGTCCCAACTAATCACTGATTCGTGCACCATACTACTGAAAGCAAGCAGCAACAGCAATTTTGAGGATTTTACGTTATATGAGTGCAGTGTCAAAGAGCAACAATGTGTAGACGATTTTATTCGGTCGATTGGGCTTTCAGCTGACACATTAACACAGGCACGATTAACGCAGGTCATACAAAATTATTCAGATGCCTTTGCATGGAAATCCGGCGACTTGGGACGGACCGGCCTCGTGAAACATTCTATTGACACTGGTGTGGCTAGACCGATTAAAGTGCCTCCGAGACGTATTCCAAGCCACTGGCAGGGTGAGATACAGAAGCTGATAGAGGAGATGTTAGAGAAGAACGTTATCCAACCCTCCAACTCCCCGTGGGCATCTCCGGTTGTCCTTGTAAAGAAAAAGGACGGTGGCTTCCGATTATGCGTCGATTACCGAAGATTGAACGAGGCTACTCGAAAGGACGCCTACCCACTCCCAAGGATCGACGATCTGTTCAACGCACTTGGCGGATCTGTGTATTTTAGCACACTTGACCTGGCTTCCGGGTATTGGCAGGTGGAAGTAGAAGAGAGCGATCGAGCGAAAACCGCCTTTGTCGTGCCCTCTGGGTTGTACGAGTTTCAGACCATGCCACTTGGCTTATCTAACGCTCCAGCTACCTTCCAACGCCTTATGCAAAAAGCATTAGCTGACCTGATCCCGCGTAAATGCCTCGTGTATTTGGATGATGTCATCGTACATGGAAAGACGGAAGGTGAACACTTGGACAATTTGGCTAGTGTTTTGGAATGCTTGTTGAGGGTGGGATTAAAGCTTAAGCCCTCAAAGTGTCATCTCTTGAAAAGGGAAGTGGCGTACTTAGGGCACATAATATCTGGAGATGGTATTCGAACGGACCCGGTAAAGGCTGAACAGGTCAGGTCGTGGCCAACCCCAACCACTACGGAGGAGCTACGTAGTTTTCTCGGGTTAGCATCATATTATCGGCGATTTATTCGAAACTTCTCATCCATTGCAGCCCCACTACACTCATTGCTAGAGAAGGGTCGCATGTTCGAATGGTCGAAGCAGTGCGCAGAAGCTTTCAATCACCTACGTGAATCTCTCTGTACGGCCCCTTTGCTAATATTTCCCGATTTGTCCCCGTCTGCTGGCCAGTTTATCTTGGATACTGATGCGAGTGATAAGGCGATTGGAGCGGTGTTATCACAACTGGGATCGGATGGTGTCGAACGAGTCGTGGCATATTGTAGTAGCAGTCTCAGCCCGAGGGAGCGAAATTACTGCACGACTAGGAAGGAGATGCTGGCATTGGTATATTTCATCAAACAAAACCGACATTATCTATTAGGTCGAAAGTTTCTGGTCCGCACAGACCACCAGTCACTTCGGTGGCTGCAGAATTTTAAAGACCCCGAAGGCCAAATCGCGCGTTGGCAAGAGCAATTGCAGGAATATGACTTTGAGTGCAGACATCGCCCCGGTAAGCAACACGCTAATGCTGATGCATTGTCACGAATTCCCCCTCGTAACCATGGAGAGTGCCCTTCGTGTAATACGCAACACGTAGCAATCGTCAATCTTCAAGGAGCAGAGTATGGTCGGTGGCAAACGGCACAGGCGAACGATCCCAATACCGCACTGATCTACGAGAGGCGTCTTAATGGCGGCGATAAACCAACGAGTAAAGAGATGGAAGGGAAAAGTTACGAAGCTCGTTGCCTTTGGTCCATGTGGGATTACCTGACCACCGAAGAAGGAGTTTTAGTTTTCAATTTCGGACCGACGTACACGAGAAGAATCATCGTCCCGCATTCTATGGTTAGGGAAGTACTGAGCGATTTACACAGGGAAATGGGACATGCAGGGATCAATAAAATG